TGATTCATTGTGAAGTGTTTTCAATTGTCCCTCGTCTTCTAAGTCGGGAGTGTACTTCATCGCACTCGACTTAGTTTGAGATTGAAGGTATTTTGCTAAGAAACTCTTATTCTCTCTCTTATGTTGCATTTTATTGGATAGATGACTTGAATCTTGAATTATATTGGATGATACTCTAGTTTTGGTGAAGATTAACGAATTTCAGCTAGGGTTAGTGACTCTGCCCAGTTTTTGGACCCAACTGGAACTGCATATTCGTCCATGATAAAGAACAAATCAGTTCTTGCTAAAAACATGAAAGTTTTAGGGAATTGAGTTAGCTAGTTACCTGTAAAATTTCAACTCAATTGGAGCACTTTATTTAATGAAATAACTAAAATACCCTTGACTACCCAAATACCCAGATTAGCTGACAGTCTTCTGTTTTCTCTGAGATTGCGATTTTGACCTTGAAGATGCAAGAACTGGGTGTTGGTGTTTTCATAGGAAATATAGGCCTCTGTCTTAGTTTCGAAACGCCATAAAATTTACCCCAATTCGATAAGCATAGCTTCAGTTGTGACTGCCGAGAGATGTCAAACCTACTGTGTGGCTAGTTGTCTTTAAAACTAGTTTCTAACTTCTAGCTTTGATTTGGATGGTTGCACTGCTCGAATTGACTTGTAAGTGGATAATATTGAGTCTAGTTGAATAGCTATTGTTTTGAGCTTGCTTGTATGCTGAATTGGGGTGAGTTGAGGAAACTAATGAAGCCATAAATGACTGGAAAATAGCTAAATACAAAGGGCATGCTGCCCACATTTTCACTCGAAGGTTAGGCGTGTGTACTCGCGGTTTGAGTGAAGATTTGAGGTCGAATTGAACTTGGATTGTCTATGGTATTCGAGTCTTCTTTCGTCAAGGTATATAAGCTAAAATTTGGCCGAAACTCATACCTTTGGAAAAAATGAAAGTGGTGACCACTTGGAATATATTTTCTTCGTCTTTTAGACTCAAATGCGAATTCCAAAGTTTTAGTTGCTTCTTTAGCAACACCAAAAGAGCGAGCATGAATTTTCTAGTGTTTGATACATAACGTGAATCCTATCTAAACGAGTTTCATTTACTTGATCTGTTTAAAGCGAAACTCTGAAGTTCCGAACTCTAGTGATTTCAAGCTTTTAAATGATATTGTATCGCAGATTTGGACTCCAACCAAGGAGTTACACCTGAACGTGATTTTGACAAGCACTAAATCTTTGGTGGGTGTCCTTGCTTGTTCTATATTTATCTTGTTAAAGTGCTTTCTTGACTTGTTATGTGATAATTGGAAAGTGATTTTTCTGATCCATCGAAGTGGGCAGTGTGTACTTTATCGCACTAGCCCTTTCGAGTGGTGATTTGCTTGAAATGTTTCCTTTTATCTTGCTTGCACTAGTTCAGTACTGAGTGGGGGAATGTACCACACCTGAGGGTGGGAGGGCCTCTTATCCTAACTCAAGTACCAAAACCTTGCAACTGTTGACTGGAGCGTGGACTCGTCAACTAAACCACCAGGCAGGGGAATGTACCACACCTTAGGGTGGGAGGGCCTCTTATCCTGACTTGGTGACCACTTGTTGTGACGTCGTTGGGTGAATCCCTCGACTAGGCTATAAAAAGGTATACTCGAGTAATACCAAACCCTCTCGTGAGAAGAACGGGCTCGGTGGGAGTAAGTTGGTCGGAGTGTGCTGAGAAAAAAAAAAGGATCTACTTGGACTTTAGATAGTGAAAGTTGACGGAGGGTCAACTGCAGTTAATTTTGATCAAGTTCGTGGAGAATGGCTCCTGAGAGCCATCTGTATCCTTATACATTGATTGTTATTCGAAATGTTATTGCTCACTTTCATGAACTTGATATGCTCGCTATTTTGCTACGTGATATTTGTACTTTTCAATATTGGTCAACTTGCTATTTGGAACCTCACTGGGCTTTTAGCTCATTCCACGCCATTTGTTTTCCTTACAGGGGGTACGAGCGAGACGTGAGACTGGTACAGGTTAGTGTAGTTTAGTAGTTTTGAATTTTACGATTGTACTCACGCTAGTGCTCGATTAGAACTGAATGTATCTGAAACTCATATCTTTTGATATATGTGGAATTGTACGAATGTTTGAAATAGAAATGAAAGTACATGTATGTTCCAAGGTTGGAAACTGGTATTTCTTTTACTCTTGAAATTATAACCTATTATATTTGAAGTGAGTGAGTGAGTCCTGGCGAGAGTTGGGCAGGCGGTCCGCTAAATGCATCATTTGCCAATTTCTTGGCTTCATTTGATCCTCATTCCCCTTTATCTGATGTAGGAGCAGTTGTAATTGTTGTATTGAAAAAGCAAATAAAAATTCTCAAGACAATGTAATAATTTTTATGGCTACACCCTAAATTCTACTCACTTTCCCTTCACTTCAAACAACTAGTACTTAACATTTCTTTAGCGAGTAGTCCTAATGAACACTAGTTAATATGTCTAAATTATACCAAAATTACTGTGTGAATAAATACATTCACATTTGTGCCACCTTCTATTTTTAGACACTTTTCTAAATTATTGTCACATTTGTAAAATATAAACACTCTTCTTGTTAGCTAAATCCCTTTATCAATAAAAGTATATTTTGTTTAGACTTTAGATAAAATACAAAATTAAAAAAATAAGTATAAAATATGAGTATGTAAAATACAAAATAGAATTAGTATAAATTAATATTAAAAAATTAAAATGATAAGCAAAGTGAGGCAAGTGCCCATTGACCTGAATCTTGATAGTCTTTCAACTATATCTGGTAGCGGGATACCTGCTTATATGCAGGATGGATAAGGATCAAAAAATAGCTGACCCGTAAAGTGCGAGTTAAGTCAATCAAATGATATATAAAGCGGATACCCAATCCGTATCCACTCCTAATTAAACCATGTAGGAGTTTCAAATAATATCCTCAACAATTTTATTCCACAAAAAAAAAAAAAACAAAAAGATTGATTTTTAGTTATGCCTGTCAATTGGTCCAATGAGTTGGGTTTCAACAATACGAGGTCAGCCCAAGAAACATTTATGTGAGCCCGAGACCAGCAGCGTGATATTTGCCCAATTATTGATGTTGGTTGCTATACGTTATACTTGGGATCTGCCAACTCGAATTTTTTTCGAGAAAATATGCCTTTGTATTTCTTGTGTGCTTTAGTAAGAATTAAAAAAATAAATGTGTGTTATATAAATGTAATTAGAATATTTGTGTATTAAAAGGTGGGCCTTACTCAAATCAAGCCTAGCATGGACCCAGTGCAGCCCATAATTTAATTGAGCTTCAGAGTTAGGCATAAGCTCATCTTGACCATAATTCATATGAAGCCAAATTATATCTTTTTAAAATGAGCTGGAATTGGGCCTTTACGGTTGGAATTCCCACGACACGATCTTGCACGATCCGAGACATTTATCGTTGAAGGTGCATTTGGACCGAACAGTGATCTGTCCAAAACCGGGCCGATAGATTAGAGCGTGGCTCGATCTGAGAGAAACATTAATACTTCTCCCGTCCCACTTTGATAGTTCTGATTTTTTTTCACACAGTTTAAGAAAAAGTAGTTAATTTTGTTAGAACGATCAATTTAGGTAACTATTTTTCTAAAATACCCTCACATTAATTATAGTACAACTTTATGAGAACTTGAATCGATGGTAAAAAAGGAATCAACTCTCATTAAATGAGATAGGTTTATAGTAACAACAACTTACATTGAATAAGGGTATTTTAGAAAAATTAAAATACAATTACATTTTTTAATTGGAAAGTGGACTACAATTTGAGACAAATGAAAAAGGAAAACAGGACTATCAAAGTGGGACGGAGGGAGTAATATTTTTCTTAACTTTTCAACGTGTCTATTCTGATTACATTCTGTGTCTCTCCCCCCCCCCCCCCCCCCCTTCCCAATGAAAAAAAACCTCCCACTAAAGAAAAAGGAAAATAATATTTTGTCTAATTCATGCAGAGTGCCCATCATTCACAATTCCCGATATATGAATTTCACATTCTTTTTCGGTATTGCTACTACTTATCTTCATTCAATATATTTATTAATATTTTATATAAGATCATACATTTATTATTTTGTTATATAAATATTATATATGTAATACTAATATAAAATAGTATTAAAAATTAAAATTTACATAAAAATTTTGAACTATCAAAACAAACTCCAGCCTATTGACTAAATCGAATCAAGTTCAAGTTCGAATTCAAAAGATTAAAATCAGAGTCCGATAACTTAAAGTTGAATTCGATTCGATTAGTTTATAACCCTAATCGGGTCTTCCCAACTCTAACTTTGGAGGCATTGAAGGTTGATATTTTTCCACGTCTCGACACAAAAAATTCTACAACATGCAATGACATGCACGTAACCTAGAGACATATACATTCAATAATACAACATACATCAGCGTCGTCGATCCATCCTCATCCTCCCTTCTTCACTGTTTCTTTTCTCTCTCACACCCTATATCAGAATGCACGAACTTATGATGTACGTTTGCCACTCTAAGAAATATCGTTGCCTCACAACCTCAATTTCAACTATGTTATCGTCATCTAAGTATAGTCCTACCCCTTTGGAGGTACTATAAAGGAGGAAGGATATATAGATAACAGTGCAGTAGCAGAGCAGCTAGGAAGGACAACGTGAAAATCGGGCATGAGCACATTACACTAGAATGCAGAGATTACTACAGTTTGTTTGTCTTGGTTGTATACTGTCAATCGACTTCAGCTCAAGTAGACCTGGGATAAGACTTCACTAATAAGGCATATCTCTGCTGCTATCTCTGTGAGTTCTTCCAAACAGAAAATCCTCCACTAAGGTCATTTTCTCTTAAATTTTGAACTCTTAGCCATGTAACTTCCAGATGGAAGCACGAACTCAATTTCCTATACTGTCTCAGAAAGTGATGAAATTTTCCAGAAAATAAAGCTTTCATCAAAATAAAATAAGATGACAAATCAAACCAATACCAAGAAGTTCTTTTGCTTCAGAGTGCAAGAATTATTCATTAACATCCCAACGTGCATATGGTAGTTCTGAAACAGACTTCTACTTGAAAGAAGTGAAGCACGACATTCTTCCTACTCATCTTGTTCCTTAAATCCTATTTAGCCCCAACCACAACGTTTCTACTTGAAATCGCACGTGAAAGGAGAAGAATGCAGTCACTGGGCAATTTGCTCAATAGACAACTCACTTTCTGCTCCTACCTCTGCCCTACTGCCCGGCCAGCCAAGGTTTACAGCCAGGTCCTCAACCGCCACCTTGATGACATCTGTGCGAACACCAATATCAGTAGCATACCTGCTCATACAATACATCCCAGCTGTTACTGTCGCCACACCAACAGGACTTGGCATTAGCAGTTTCAGAGGAGAGGAAAGCAGCGCCGCTAGTGGAGCACCAATAACAGAAGAAGCTTGCCCACTTCTTCCAACCCCCAGACTGTCAACTGTCAGAAGGCCTGTTTTGCAATATAGAGCAAAGTCCTCACAGTTGTTTTGAAACACGTCATAATTCCCAAATCCATTCTGCAGAAGATACATTGCCCGATGAATGACCGTTTCAGGTGGGTCAGATGCTGCAGTTGTGCAAGTGCCTCCTCTTACTTTGGCAAAAAAAACAGACGGAGTTACTCCATACTCAAAGGAGTAGAGGGAACCATTCTGCAGGAAACAATCAAGGCATGTAAGTACTACCCCACTCTTTGGCTGCCTAAATCCACAGTCAGGAAATGTTGGACAGGATGAAGGGAGGGCTATCATTTCATCATCAGAATGGTCAGAGGTTTCGACACGGGTAAAATGAACCACTTTGCTTCCACCAACAAAGATACCTGCATTATGATATATGCTTAGAAGACCACAATACATGATGTCACTACATTGAATATAGTATGCAGAATAGATAGATGGTCTCAGCATCAAGAGAAATTCGAGATTCTTGAAGTTCTTGATCTCCCAGTTTAGCTCGATAACCCGACGTATCTCAGAACACCGCACAAAAATGGGCACAAAAATCTACAACCTGTATTCCCTTTGCCACACAGCTCTTTGAAGACACTATTGCTACTGCTTTTAGATGGCAGCTCACATTGAGGAGGGAAACATTCCAAAAATAACATAAAACTCGTCAAGTGTGTCAAAGTTTATCACTTACTTTCTGGAATGCATTTCCACCTTAAGCAACTATTCCCTAAGTGGTGACAAATTAATTGTTTTTGGTTTATGTCTCAAAGGTGCTTATCACAAACTAAGGTTGAGAATAAACGAGCTATACTTTCATGCCTCTCCATTACTTGGATTTAGCATTGATATGTCTAGAGAAAGCACATTGTTGCACATACCAAGGGAAATAGATCCCACGAGGAAACAAGATTTTAAACTGCTTTAGTCGCAACAAGATTTTAGACTCAGTACTGTCTCTGTCTTGTTAATCATTAGCGTGCTGCAAATTCAGGCTTCGAAGAATTCGTGGTAAAGGAGATGACAGTACTGATGTTGATCTGCATTTCTGTTATTTAATCATCAGCATTCTGGAACTAATTAGCTCATTTTAGGGGAACTACTCCACTTATTTCAAATTCTCAACCATCGAAAGGACACTACTCGCACTCAGAGCACATGATAAAACTTCAAAAATGAGGTTCTGTGTACATATGCATATGACTTAAAGTACTGCCCTATTCAACTTTTTTGCAGGAATGAAGTTGATTTTATCTCCTTTTTTTTTTCAAGTAGATTTTATCAGGTAAAAATAAGAATCAAGTAACGCTTAATTTCAGCTCGAATCAGTAAAAATGGAAAACTACTAGAAAATGCCTGCAGAGGAAAGGTATTAGGCAAGAATTCAACGTTGAGTTGGCTTTTCGTCGTCATAAAAAAAAAAAAAACTTTTCGTCAACTGCAGAGCAGAAAGGGAAATCACATCACATCAAGGACTCGTAGTCAAAAACGTATGTCCAAAACCAAATTCCTGATCTTGATTATTCAGTTTAAATCGTCAGATTTTTGATAACTGCATCAGGGGATGATGCTTAAAGTAAAGAAAAATTAAGTTTTGATACTAAGATGACTGCTTAGTCTACATCACTGCAAACTGCTCCTTTTACACCAGAATAAACAAACTATGAAAAACATGTGTTGTTGCTCATCAACTCCATGTCAACTTTTTTTTTTTTTTAGTCTAAGTGACAGTTCATACTGAAGTCCAGCAATTGAATTCTCTGAATCAAACCATAGATAAGATATACCACTACTGAACTTCTAAATTCTTGAATCATCTTTCCACCCCATCATGATATTCCGCCTTTGCATGCTAAAGTTCCACAAGATGTTATTGATGAAGAGTTTTACATCAGTTCATATGTAGGATTTTCTGGTTATTTATCTTCTGAACCCCCTCCGAAAATAACAAGGTGGCAGCACCAATTTATAAACCAACTTTGCTGCCCTTTCTTTATGACAGTTACTCAAAGAACTTCATTATGACTTTCTAAAAGCAGTCAGATCCAACTAAGGATGCAAAGAAACAATGGTGGTTGTCAACCAATAGTTGAAAGGGACACACCTTGCCCATGTAATTGTTAATGTTCAAGTCAATTAATGCCTGTCCAAACAACAATAGTCCTAAGCCACTATATGTGCAATACAAATTCTTTAGCAATACCCATCAGCTGCTTATGAAAAGGTATTGAATTAACACTGAATCTAAGAATTAAGTTGCTAAAATGGTGAATGCCCTAAATATTGGCTTCAAGACAACATAGATACTGCATCTGACGTGGGAGACGCATGTATTAGAATTATAAAATATATCGGTGAGACACAAAATCAAGAACTTTGCGTACTTTTAATACAGGGCTAATATCATATCAAATTGTGAGTTCATCCAAAATATCTACTTCTAGAGCATGTTGAGTGAATGAAATCTTATGGAAGTTCATCATCTACACGCCAAAGGCTGCTCTAAACCTTCTATAAGCTTCAAGTTAACATCTTCAATATGCGGACATACTGGTAAAAGATCAGACTGCAAAGAAAATTCAATAAAAGGAGGGAAAAAACTTTCACATCTTAAAAATCAACCATTTGCATGAATTTGGGACAATACCTGAGCAGCAGCAGCTGAATGATCAGGTGTGATCTTTGGATCAGCCCAGGTGACAGTTGGGGTATTGCCCTCTAGCTTAAAACTAGTATTAGACAATTTTTGCCTTGAATAATCAGCACAGGCATTATTGTAATATTCAACAAAAGCAAACCCACGATTACGATTTGGATTATGTGGATCCTGTATATTGAGATTATCACCAGTGAGACCAGCTTCAAGTTGAATGCTGAATAGTGAAAGACTTAAACCTATAACAGTATTCAACTCTGGATATTTAAGGGGAGAAGAGAAAAACCTTTATAAGCTCAATCGTTTCGGCTCCAGGACCAGTGTCATCAATGACTTTTCTGAAGTCATTATCAGTCAAAACCTTAGGGATGTTGCCAATGAACAATCGGTATTTTGTTTCTGACAGTGAACACCTTAAGGTTCTTCCCTATACTCGTGGAACACAGAAGAAGGTACAAATTAGAAGAATATTTCAAAATAAACTAGATAGGTCTACTCAAAACACATAAAATTCGACGAGAAATACTGCCAAGAAAATAAAAAAGCTAGATAGATTCTGCAAAAGTTACCTTGAACTCTTTGTTATGTAGTACTTCAATGGCCTTTTGAGCAACATCTTTTGTTTTGAATGCCACAAAAGCAAAACCCTTGCTTTCACCAGTATCCCTATTTTTCATTACTCTTATCTGCAAAGGACAAAAACGATCAAAATTAGACAATTACATTTGGACCACAACCATACATAGCTATAGAATTTCTTCACAGCCTTGGAACTGACCTCAAAAATTTCACCAATGGATTCACAAAGATTCTTGAGGTCAATTTCGGAAACATCTCTGGGAAGTCCACCAATAAATACTTCAGAACCATGAGGAGGAAGGCCAAGAAGTTCAGCATGTTCATCATTCTCTACCACATCATTGGAGGAATTCGGGTTTCCCACGTTTTCTGCAAGTTCAGCACCAAGGTCGTTCCTGACGCCTTCGAATACCTGCTCTTTCCCAGAATCCCCAGGTTGCAAGTCCTCATGTTGTTCATCTTGGTCTTCGCCAATTTCTTCAGCCCCCTCTCCTGCACCTTCATCTTCCATCTGTTCCTCAACATCATCTTCTTCTTCAATATAGTTGTCATCATCAAAATCCACTCGATCATCAATTTCAGCATTCTCAGCCATGGCTACAATATGTTACAGATCTTGTCATTCAACACTCGTGTCCACCAAAATCGCTGCCAGCAAAAAATCTTGCCAGCGAGAATCAGGTAAAGTGGTACTATGATCTATCAGAGTAGATAACGTCTATATGACAGCATGGAAAGTTTCACACACAATTAGACACAGAGATCATTAAAAGCTAATTCTGTCAGGGATAACGCAATTAGAGTTACCTGGTCAAGCAAAACGCAAAGTTTTAGTAAAAGATGACAAATAGGATGTAGTTGATTAAAATGCAAGCAAAAGTAGAATAACTGGACAACGGAAAGAAAGGGGTAATTAACAAAAGGCAGTAAACTAAAATCCAGCAGAGACAATCCCAAACTCTTTCAAGTTCGAATTCCCCATCTTTTCGTTTTGAAAAGAGAAATAGACAACATTAATACTAGTTAGTCGCAAAGGGAATGCTCGAGCAGATTTAGAAGGTCAGTTGCTCTAAGAGCTTTGCAACAAATCTAAGTTATATGATCTGTTATCTTTTTGACAAAAAATATGAAAAAAAAAACTAGTCGGAATGGAAGCCGACCGCTGCTAGGAACAGTGGCATGAAATTTCAAGTAAAGTTTCACCAAGATAGGCAAAAGTACGACAGTGCAAGGACATCGCAAAGAGCATAGAATGACAGAAAATTGGCAAATAGTGAAAAGAGGAGAAGCAAACAATACCGAACCCCTAGATTTGGGTTGGACATGGACAATAACTTTCCCGGAATGATAAGCAGTTAAGGGGAAACAGAAAAGTATGTAAAAGGAAGGCAGGTGTGGAATTGGATGCAAAATAAATAACCTCACATGTGATGCAGAAGAGCAGATGTAAAGGCAAATGAATGGAAGTAAAACACAGAATTGAGCAGAGTGGTACGAATATGAACATATTAAAATGCCGGTGCAGAGGGAGTAATAAGGATTAAAAAAGCTAAAATAAATAAATAAATAAATGCAAAATAAAGGGATACCTCAAAAACAGAAAAATTCAAAGGCTCATGGTGGAAGTTCAGGTTGGGATAAGCAAAGATAAAAGAAAAAGGGCCACATGTAGTAGTAGCAGAGCTTGAGAGAGCAATATACACACATATAAGATATGTATAGAAGAAGACATGACCGAGACTTTGCAAAACCCAAAAGAGATAGAAGAGATAGCAGTAAATCTTTGCCTTCTTTTGATTTCTCTTTCTTCCTGAATTTGTTTTGTTAAGGGGAAAAGTATCGATTTTTTTTCTTTTTTGGGGGTTGTGGGGGAGGGGGAGGGGAGTTTCAAAATGAAATTGGGGCTGACTTTCTACTAATTTATTTTTCTCTGCATCTGGGGGGGAGTTGTATTGTTGATGGTGGATGTGGAGGGATTTGAGGGAAGAAGGGAGAGCTAAATACCTGAAACAAGAAAGTAGTAGTAATATTGAGAGAGAGAGAGAGAGAGAAGAGACGCAAGAAGCCGCGCAGACGGGACTACTTAAGGAACCACTCTCTTCTCTCTCTCTCTCTCTCCCTCCCTCCCTTCCCTCGAAACACCACGACGACAGTTAAACCAAATTAAAAAAGTTTAGAATGGCCCTAATTTGGCTGTTGCCTCTGCAATCTGCATCTGGCTAGGCTAGTTTAGTCTTTCCCAGTCTCTCAAAAATGTGAGTTTGAGCCTTCAATAGTTCAATTCTCTCTCTCTCTCCACTTGAACACTTTTAACTAGTAGTAACTCTTTCCTTCCGAGTCGGACACGGTTTTACTCACCAGCCATTTTAATCTCTTCTTTTTCTTATTGTACACAAAATTCAGCAGCAGCCTAGTGTACGACGGATAATCGGCTTGGACCGACTGACTGAATTTCAACCAGAACTAATGTACTACAACTTAATAAATCCTTTGGTGTACAGAATAATTACAGATAGATATTTTTACGCTTTTTGTGCAAATTAAATACCAACAAAAAAAAATAAACCTTAATCCTTCTATCTTTTCTCTGTTCAACAGACATATATATGTCAATCATCTTCCTCCTAACTTTCTGATAATACATTCTGGAACCAAAGTAACATTTTAAATTGTCACTGAAAATTTTATACTCCACTGACCAAAGCACACATGTCTTTTGCCTGTCCACCGCATAGCGAACCTCGTCTGGCCCAAATATTCCTCAACCGAAACATCCTGTTTTCCTACCCATCAATCAGCTTCCTAATCCAATTGGTAAGTCAGCACGAATCCTATCGGGACAAGTGATATTCCGAGATCACGCTCCAAATATCCACCAAAACTGGGCCAGAGAAGGCTGAAAAGGGCCGGGGGGAGATTCCCACGTCCAATCCACAGAATTCCACCACTCCTGCATACTGCATACCTATTTGATTTAACTTCACCTCCAACAACCAGGATGCATTTTTTAGCTTTGAAAGTAAGTTTTGCATAAAAAAAATTCATTATCACTTGTTGTTCAATTTTTTGTTATCAAACACGTCTGAATACGTTACAATCTGAATCCATTATGTTTAAATATTGAATTGGATTATCAAACCAAAGTTAAGTGATAATGTCCTCAACCCAAATTCCGCGAGATTTCTGTTAGATTCTTTTCATTATTGTTCTGGAAGCCCAAAGTTTTGAAGGTAAGATTTTAGGATTCATTATGTAAAAATTGAATTTGAAATTCAACTTTTGTACACATGTCATGAATCCAGCAGTGACAGTGTGTACACTGTGTCAGTGTATATAAGATTTACTCAAGATTTTATTCCAACTTTAAACATTGAAAGATGTATAATGTGAATAGCAAGGTGTGCATCGTTCCAAGCGTAAACTATTTCTACCCTTTACCAACTTTGTTCTTGTGGCATGATGTCTGCTTTGGTCAAGCAACTAGTGTTTTGAAAATCAAACTGGATGAACAGATCCGAAATTGAAAATCGACCCTAATATCTATCCAGTTCTGTATTTAACTCAAAAAAAAAAGAAGTCAAATTAAGTCAAATACCAGTTTAATTGGTCAAAAATGATAAATACAAAGTAATTGAATTGATTGTCGCTTTACATATATATATATATACAGACATACTAGTTGAATAGGGGACTCATGCGACGCATGAGTTTGCTCAGATTTTTATTTTTTTTTTGGGAAAATGGTAAGTTTTAATATAGATTTTTATTTTTTTTTTGGGAAAATGGTAAGTTTTAATATAATTCAAAAGTAAGGAAGAACTCGGTTAATATATGCATGAGTTTTCGGAAGAGAATTTAACCCCTCTACGTAGCAAGAGTTCCCTTCCTAGCATCATCTAAATTTTTTGCTAACTCTTATGGCACAATTACAATTGAACACTTCAAAGCCTGCAGAATCTAGTTTTCTTGCAAGGTAATCTGCAGCTCTATTAGATTACAATTGAACACAAGTGGGGCTGCCTTGCTTGTTTCTTTCAGCAGTTGGTCAATGAGAGCCAAATTGTAGCATTCTACTGTATGATTTTGATTCGTTACATTCAGCAATGGCTTCAACTAAGAATCATACTTGCAATGCAGCACCGAATCATGCTAGTTGAATGTGCAGAGATCTTTCTCAGACAAAGCAATCACTCATTAGTTTAACAACATCCACACAACTAATGGGACGAAATTGATTGTTGAATTCGATCGGTCGGTCGACAATCACTTGCAAACTCCCTCTTTTATGATAGTGTGTGCGTGTCTGTATATATACATATATATATATATATATATATATGTATGTATGTAGCATTATCCAAATCAATAGTAACAAAATAAAAAACATTGGACCGGCAGTCGAATCAGATGAACCTTGAAAACTTATCCAATTCACTCATTGATCCGCATTTAGAAACATAGCGACTAACCCGTTTTATGTTTAGTGCTTGAAAGTAATGTATATATATATATATATAATTTCCGCCGACTAATGCTGTGAAATAGTAGTGATGATGAGCAAAGAGGGGACATAAATATAACTGGAACTAAGCAAAAAATACGCAGTCAAATTGGGAGTTGAAGAAGCAAGTAGTACAGATTACGAGGGCCCTCCAAATCTAATGCTCGATCGAAGCTTTTCTCTTCTTCCCCTTCAATGCTCAATCACCTCAACCACCTTCTCAAGTCGCCGGTCGAAGAAGGTGAAATCTCCCCTGCTGTCAGACTCTCGGTGTAGCAAGATGAATAGTTAGACTGCTGTTCAAACCCCAGATGCACTCCACAAGCACTCTTAAAGCTTGGGCTTCTCATATAATCTCCGTAGCCCGTGCCTGCACCATATGGGTCCGGGACAGGAAACGACAACCTCTTCTTAACCGAGCCCGCCCTTTCCCTCTCTGGAGTGGCGGGCCTCTGTCGCGGTGCACTCTGAGAGCGGATTCTAGCTTTAGCAGATTCTGTTGCGGCCATGTAATTAGGCACCGCACCGGTCATGCCTCTGGATTGTTGGTGCAGGCCACCACCGCTGTAATGGTGGTAATTAGACCTCAGTGTTGGGGTTTGAGCTGTATGACCGCATCTTTCTTCCACTGCAGCATATCTAGGACTGGCGGAGCGGACTTGGAGAGGCCTTGTTTTGGACGGAGAAGGTGTGACAGGAGAGTGGAGAGATTGAGCTTGTTGGGACGACCTATGAAGAGGTGAGCCAGGCCTTTGATGTTGGCTCGGCCTGCGGGAATTGGAAGCAGTATCAATTTCAACAGTTCTAACAGAGTCCCTTTGATCGGTGGATGCCCTCCCCCTGCTGCTCTCCCACGGCTTTGCGGCCATCCATCTATCCAGCCGTTGGTGATTTTCCCTAATAAGCTCATTCTCGCTGCCGAAAGATGAATTCCTTCCTGCTCTCCACATCTGTTGGTGCGCAAAACATATACATTTAGGCTATTAGTAATAAACACTAGTCTAATATTGAAACAAAATTTGTCCAAATTAAAAGGAGGAAGAAGAACATATGCTACTATTATACTATAGAGGAAGAGGAAGAACCTGCTGAGAGAAGGCATGAGATAAGGTTCTCTCCCGCTTTAAAGCAGCTTCTTTCCTATCTTGCAACATCGCTTTGACCTCCTCAATGGTTATAGTGTGTGGCCGATCATCCCAATCATCGGGAATGCTACTGCCATCTCTCGACTGATCAAATGGACGAACGTCACAAAACACATTAGGCAACTAACCTGAAAGCCTGATCAGGTGATACTGCATTCAAACAGCAGCCCCTTACCATAGATTTTCGATCAGAAATGTCCTGTGGATGGCGCGAGCTCCAGATGCTGTTGGTGTCACTAAATGTAGTCGATCTTCTGCTTCCATCACTAGATTGCCTTATTCGTTGGTCAAGTACTCGAGCCTGCACTCGAACTAGGGCTTGCATGCATCTGAGGGTCATCTTGGCTTGCTTCCGGACATTGTGACCCCTTACTAATGCTTGCAATCTTACCAGACCTTTGAGCGCACGAAAAGCTCTCCTTGCCTTCAAATAAAAAATCACAAAGTGACCCTCTCCCTCACCTTTAGCTATGCTCACTTCGCAGAATGATTGAAAGAGACGAGACGAGACGAGGAGATATGATTGGTTAAGGAAACTCCAGAAACTAATATCAGTCGAAACGGGACCTAAGTATTCAATTTTCAACCAGTTTCCGAGAATTAGCAGTCTTAAAATGGGAATTACATACACCGGGACTCGACCTGGTTGCTTCTATCCAATTTCAGTTCTCTTTTTTTCTTTAGCCCAGGAAATAATTAAGCAGGGTTTAACCTCAAAAGAAGCACTTGAATACATTAATTGTCATTATCAACCAACCAAATAATAGAGGTCTGATGAGTAAATCACAATTACTAATTGCTGCTGATTCCATTTTCATTTTGTTTAGGCCCCACATAAGGTGTAGTAGGCAGTAGCAGTAGTACTCATTTAAAGAAAGGAAAACGTTCGGGTGAGATCCGCAACTAATTCAATTAAACTACGAAGAAGTATCCCAGGTCAAGCAGAGACGAGATCTGTAAACCCACTCACCAGGTACCCTCTGAAAGCTCTTTGAATAAGAGTAGCAGCATGATGCTCCCTCGCATAATTTGAAGGTGGTGGCCTGGCAAGCCTGGCAACTTCTGCTGCTGCCTGGGCTGTGGCCGCTGCCGCCTGGGCAGCAGCTGCGGTCGCCACTGCCACAGCAATGGCATGCCTTTGTTCCGCAGCAGCTGCTTGAGCAGTCATGGATCCAGATGCTGCGGCGATAT